CACTACAAGGGGAGTAAGATTCGGATTACTTTGTTGATCGAATATCTCAAGGCAAGAACATTGTTTGAGATTCAAATCACTCCACAAGCAAAATCGATCATGTCTAGCTTGAATGATTCTTGTTGATCAAATATCTCAACACAAGAACACTTGATTGAGATTCGAATCACTCCACAAGCATGATTGATCATGTCGAGCTTGAATGATTTTACATGCAACCTAAACTACATAGAATTGCAAAGAAACTTAGCCATTGGCAAAAGAAGAGCACAAATGCCTTTTTTATTATATTTTCCAAGTCTGCTTACAAATACAACATACATGGCTTTATATAGCCTCAAAATGAAACTACTAAAGACATTCCAAGAGGTGTAACATTCATACTTAATGGCCATAATTAACCATTATGTAATTGTAACCTAAAGTAAATTAAAAGTCTTAAAATGCAATAAAGAAATACAATAACTCTAAATTGTAACCCACCAAAAATTTATAACCATCAAACTTCATTCCTCTTGAATGTGACATGAATTTCAACATCTTTTGATAATTTTGACAACATTTTCTTCACATCTTCATTGAGGTATATTGTATGATTGATGTCTCTTGGTTCATATCAATCATACTCATCATATTGCCACAAAGTTCATCAAACATATCAAGTACGACATTCATCAAAATATATATATACTGAGCACATCATAAAGTATCGTAACCCACACATCATCATAACTCATACATCATCATAACTCATATCCCGCATCGTACGACATAGTTCATACATCATCGTAACTCATACAATTTTTAGCCTATCCTATAGTAAGGCCACTTACCTGGTTAGCTTAAGTCGTTGTCACGAACATATCTTTAATGAAAGTTCGATTCCGCCATTATCCTTAATGAAAGTCCATTGAACTCCAAGTCAACCTATGTGAGCTGACATCAGTTTCAAGTTTGAACTCTATAAAATTATTTATCTAATTTACATTGGCCATTCTTAAATTGTGATATTTCCTGTTAGACGAAATTTGATGGAGTTCCTTGCCCTCTAATGTTTACTGTTTTTTTTTTTTTAAATTATGTTCAACAAAATCTTTTCTCAATCTTCTGTCTTCTATGGTAATTATTTTGGAGATATTATTGGCCAATTTTGTTAATCTATCCCTACTTCCAAATCTTCCCTTTTTATTTTTACTTTTTTTTTTCTCTCTCTCTTTTCCGTGGATTTCCATCTCTATTTAGTTTTTTTTTTCTTATTTCCTTTGTCTTCCTTCTGATTTAGCTAACAATTATATTCTTAGCTTTTAATTTTATCTTCCTTCTGATTTAGCTAACAATTATATTCTTAGCTTTTAATTTAATCAATTCATTTGGTTAGGGTCTTTTTTCTATAATTCATATAAAATTATTGACAACCTAAATCATTGCAACAAACCATTCAGGAGATCTAAACAATTCAGGAGATCTAAAATATAATTAGTTGTGATTTCCTAAAACTCATACAAAATTCTTTTCAATCTCTAATTCAAAACTAAATAATTGTAACCAAATTAATATTACTTAATAAAACAAGAGGAAGATTTAACATACGACTACTGACCTCTTCAAATGACGTATCTCCTCGACCGAACTAAATCTACTTAAACCTTTTGTTTTTGTTTTTTTTTTTCTATTTGTTTTTGTAGGAACAAAGAAATTATGGGTAAATCTTCCTAGAAAAGAATTCGTGATTTATTTCCAGATTTATTTGTAGGGAAGGAGTGGTGAGAGATTGAAGGAATATTTGAATAACTAGAACATAGTAGGGAAAGGCAAGGAGCAAACAAAGCCATGAGACAAGAATAGTCGGCGAATGAGTGAAAGAAGATACGAAGATACGAAGTAGTCAGTTTCACCAATAAGATACGAAGACTTACTTCCCATTTGGAATTGCACAAAAAAGACTATTTATCTCAAAGAGGTCTACGTAAAATTCTCGGAAAACGCCAACGATTACTTTCTTATTTATCAAAGATAAATAAAATGCGTTATAAAGAATTAATTAATCAATTGGATATTCGGGAGTCAAAAACTCAGTAATTTTAAAAGTAATTTTTAATTATTTGATTTATTAGATCTTGAATTTTTATGAACTTATTTGCATTTTCAGCAATTCATGGAAAGCTGAATCGAGGAAAAACTTATGAATGGACCAGCTACAAGAAAAGACCTCATGATAGTCAATATGGGACCTCNTATGAAAGATTTTAGGGAATTAAAACAATTTTAGAGTATGAATCAAGATTTAAAATATGTAACTATCGAGCAAGACACTTTATATGAAATCAAAGTTTCTATGAATACCAAGTGATAAGTTTGATGCATGCAAACAAATGTTTATGACTCATATGGATTAGGGTACACTTGTTAAGAATTTCTACTTAGTGGTACTTGAAGACTTAGCAAATAACTCTTAGGATAAGAACCCGAGTTATTCTAAGATTAAAACACTTTCGAGGACGAAAGTTTGTTTTAGAGGGATATAATGTAATAGCCGAAAAATAAATAAAGAAATGAACAAATAAAAAAAACTTTATATAAAAAAAAAAAGAAAGTTAAAATAATAATAATAATAAATTAATTAATTAATTAAAAATAGAATTTACAAAAAAATAATAATAATCATTCCCCACCTCTCTCCACTAACGTACTCGTCCCTTCCCATAATTATCTCTCCAAGACCCATCCACCTGCCAAAAAAAAAAAAAAAATATAGAAAAACAACAATGGTGGCTTTCAAAAGATTGTAGATTTAGAGATTTTTTGTCAGTTATTAGGGTAAAATCCTATCTCAGATTTCCTTTTCCTTTGTAGTTATGGTTTCAAGAAATTAATTTAGGATCAGATTTTTTTCCTATCTTTCCTATCTTAATCGTTTGTAATAATCAGATCCCATATATAATTATTAGATTTTTGTTAGCATTTTAATTATACGAAATAAGGTTATAAGTTCGATTTAATAAAATTTTAGGTGGCAAATCTATAAACTAAAATATCGTAGCCTATACTTAAAATTGGCAAGTAATATCTGTTTACACAATTGAAAAACCTATTTACAGAATCGAAAAGACGAGAGAGAGAGGGAGGGAGATTGAGGAAAGATTTGTTAAACAGTATTTAACAATAAAAGGAAATATCGGCAGTGAGCTCCTTTCAATTTTGTCTAACAGAAAACCTCACAATTTATATCAGAGGGCAGTGAGCTTCTTTAAATTTTGTCTAACAGAAAAGATCAGAATTTTACCATGGGCAATGTAAATTAGGGAAATAATTTTATAGAGTTCAAACTTGAAACTGATGTCATGAGCTCATATAGGTTGACTTGGATTTCAAAGGACGGAATCGAACTTTCATTAAAGATATATTTGTGACAATGACTTAAGTGAGCCAGATAAGTGACCTTACTATCGGCATGGTTATATTTGATGTTGACACGTGCCCTGTGGTTCTGCACGTGTCATATATATTGATATGTGTGAATTGTCTATGGATCGATATGCTTCTTATATGTTATGTTATGTTATAATATGTGGATTGTATGATAATAATTATGGTACGATGTGCTCTAGGAGATGTTTGAGATAGGATACGAGAAGGATGCACAAAACGAAATGTAACGATAGGAGTAAGATACGTTCATAAAACGTTAAGGTTAGGTTACATACCAGAGTGCTATGGATAGGAGAGATTGATGAAAGAATACAGTTAGGTTATGGGTAGAAAGCGATAGGTTTGTGATAGATTGATAGAACGATGGCGTTAGGATACGTTCTGGTGATGATATGATTAAGGTACGTTATGTAATGATATGTCCATGATAGGTATAAGAACGTTAAGGCTAAGGTAATTTAGAGAACGATATGACTATGAAGTGTTTACGTTATGACTTGTTTATGATATGATGCATTGTATGCTAGATTATTGTGCTTAAATACGTAGTTATGTGAACGTGAATGTATTATTTTAGTCTGATGTGATGTATAATGCATGTAACAATATGTGGTCCTTGAACGATTATGGCTTGTTTGTATGAATATTTGAATGTAACTGCATGAATTGTATGACATGAAATACGGTAAATTGCATGAAACATAACCCCGTTAGGAATATGTATGATATGTAAAGAAATGAGAATGGGAACGACATGTAAGCATGAAAACCTGACAGGGGGTTATGTTCATTAATGATAACTGTAGAACTAGTGGGACCTCATGCATATTGTGTGCTCATGCATTTGGGGGGATACCCCTATCCTATCACGAGGGTACGGACGCGTACATCCAATGGCAGGACAACTATCGTTATGCTTTGCATAGTGCTGCCGTGACGGTTCTAGTTTTAACAGGTCTCGGTATAAGAACTCCCAGAGCTTGCCCACCGGCTAGGGACAGTGGCCCAGCAGTGTGCGAACTAGCTGGTGAGCCCATACTCGCACGTATGGGCTGCGTGTAGAGTATATGGTACACGTCCACGATTACCTGTTAGGATTCGTAGGGAAAACAAAACCAAACGAAACGAAATGAAACGAAACGAAAGATAGGTCTCATCATTTCATTGCATGTGATTGTTGCATTTAACCCCAATAGTGGGGCCAGTTACTTAGTATTTCTTTAAATACTCAAGCCATGTGCTACTACATTTTTTCAGGTTAAGGCAAGGCATTCCTGTACGGCTGACGACGGCATTACAACTCGAGATCATGGCACATGCATAAGATACTGGCATTTATTTTCTTAGACTTAGGATAGAATAGGATGTTTTAAACTTAAACGCTTATTTATTTTATTTTGAGTCTTTTGTTGTGTCGTTTTAAAGATGTTTTCGAAACACGTAAGTCCATGGCTGTGTTTTAAGTTAAAGGTTATGTTTTATGGAATTTAAGTGAAGTCTTCCGCATTCAATGTTTATGATACGTATACAGTAGCGACCTTAAATTAAGTAGAAAATTTCAGGTCGTTACATAAACTCCTTACTGAACTACTTCCCTTCCGGAACTCTTTCACAAGGTCAAGCTCCTAAACCTCCGCTGTCGGTAAAGCTGCTTCGCTCCTTCACCGGACCCTATTTACTTTATGAATGAAATCAATCCTAAACCTGACGAGAAAGAGAATGAAAGAAGAAGAGAAAGCAAAGATTGAGTAAGATGCAGAATCAGAGAAAGGAAAGATTGAGGCAGAATTAGATATTCCTTCGTAACCTTCACCGGAACCAGATTTCACTCCTCCACCTTTATCAAAGAGAAACCCTTCCCCTACCCCGCTATTCCCTTCTTTCCCTGAACTTGACAGGATAGTAAATCAAAGAAATCCTCCCTTTTCGAGTCGAGCTGCTTGGTTCTTGATCCTGAACCTTCTTTCACTGTCAAATCAGCATTTTATATAGCTGTTACTACGGGAATATGTAATAGTAAGATGCAGAAGAAGAAAATAAAGAAGAAGAAAAGGAAACTCATGAACCTGAACTGGAATCAGAACCTTTACCTTCTTCAATCAGGGAGAGGAAAGACTCGACAAGAATTAGATAGAACAGTCAGTAAATAATCCACTATTAATTAATGATCAAGAAGAGTAAGTCAAGACTTAACCTTAAACCTTTGACTATTCGACAGTGAAAGAAAGAAGAGAGAAGAAAGATGAATGTTCACTCCTTTATAGTACAAGAATCCATGAATTAGCTGCTTTTCAAGACTCAACGCCTTATTCATTCTCCGGAACAGGAAGGAAAGACTCAACGAAAGAAGAATTAGACAGTAAAGACCATTAATTAAAAAAAGCTATCTACTCTCTATTTTTATTTTTTTGGATAAAATGTAGTGGAAGTAATTGATTATTAAGTCAAGACTCAAGATTCATTCTTTAACTGATCTTGATCAGGACTGAGTCTGACCCTGAACCTTTTCCTTCTTTAACTCTTTTACTAGGCTAGGTAAAGCGCTATTTTCAGGACCTGAACCGATATTAGTGATTGTTCTTTCCCTTCAAACACTAACAGTAAACTCGGGTAACTGTCTTCTTCCTTCTTTCTTTCACTCCTCCCCATACTTATACTCCTATTAATGATGATGAACTCCTGAACCAGATTTCCCTGTAAGAAATTAAGACTCAACGAAAGCATCATTCTCCTGAACTACTTCAATCACTTTCTTTCACTCAAACAAAAGGTAATTCTTAAGTCAATCCTCCTTTCCTTATTAATGATCCTCTCCCTTTCGGTCGAGCACTTCGTTCCTCAACCGACACCCTTTTCCTTCAAGCAAAGATTGGGTCAAGCAATTTGACTGTCCTTTACAGTCGGTAAAAGAAAAAGATCAAGCCGAAGCCGAAACATTAAACCTGAACCTCTATAACCTTACCTTATTTCAAGAGGTAAATAGGCTGAGCTCCGAAACCAGAACCTCCATGACCTTCACTTTACAGGAGAGCCAATTCAAGCGAAAACTAGTAGAAGGAACCTAAACCTTCTTTCCCTCGGTCTCGTGGCTTCTTCTTTTCCTCTATTTTGTATTACCTAACCGGATCAGTAAACACTCATCAACTCAAGACTCAATCATTCGACAGATGGAACATCGGTAAAGCTAAATGAATGAAATCCTTTCTCCTCTCCGTATTGGGATCAATCACTCCTGCACCTATTTATTCAAACAAACACAAGGGAAAGTCGAAACAGAAACCCTGCCCCTCGTCTGCGCTCCGATTCATGATCCTTAGCTTAGCTACTGAACTCCAGCTCCGTAACCTATCCTAATAGCCTTTACAGAAGGAATTAAGAAGAAAATGAAAGATTAATGAGACTGAGCAGCAAGGGCTGAAGAAGAAGAAACCTCAAACCTTTTCCTTCTTTCACTCCTAAACCTGTCCCGGATTAAACTGTAAAAGAAGAAGAAAGATTAACTGAACCTGAACCTATTTCTTCTTTAACGAGGTAAAGCAGCTGAGGATTGAATATTTACTTTCTTGCTTGTTTCACTCCTCTCCCTATTTATTCTTTCATTTGATTCTAAACCTTCTTTCACCTCTGGATTCTTGAACAGTAAACAAAGACAGAACCTTAGACCTTTTCTTTCACTCAAACACAAGGTAAATAGGTGTTTGTTCGGTTCTTGATCCTTTGACTGTTTGACCGAGGTAAACGCAATCACTATTGAACCTCTAAACTATTAGCTTCTCTACGGAACTACTTCACGAACCTTCACTCTTTCTTTTCCTCTCCTGTAAGAAAGATGAATGAGAGAGACTGAACTCCCAGCCAGATTGAACAAGGGAAAGCCGAAAGATTCATTCTTGATCTTCTCCTGAACCAGCATATTGAACGAACAGTAAACAAAGCCAAAAGATTCCTTCTCCCTCCTTCACCGGAACCAGATTGAGCTGTAAAAGAAGAAGTTAATTCGACTGAACTACTGAACTCGGTAAACTCCTGAACTATTCTGATTGAAGGAGGTAAAGCAGCTTCGCTCCGGAACCGATATGACCTTGCCTTCACTTTACAGGAGAGTCAATTCATGAGCTACTTCACCGAAACCTGACGAGAATGTAAGAAAAGAGGAAGAAACCCTTTCCTCGGCTGAGCTACTGAACCTATTTATTCTTGAACGAGGTAAATTCCTTAACTACTTCCCTTCCCTGATTTCACTCTTTCCCTCGGTAAATGGAATAGGTGTTTGATTTCACTCCTCTCCTGCCTGTAAGCAAGACTCCTTACTCCTTTTCACTACTGCCCTTGAACCTATTTCTTCATTCACTGGGTAAAGCTGCTGAGGACTGAATTGACTTGACTCTCTTGCTTGTAAACTCATTCACCTGTCGATCGGTTGAACAATTAATTCCATTGCCTGTCCCTTCTTTCATCGAACTGGGTAAAGCTACTGATCTGACCTCATTCCCTTCTTTCACTCTTTGACGATATTCCCTTATTGTGAGTTATTCTTTCACGAACTGTAAACTAAGCCGAAACCTTAAACCTTTTCCTATCCCTTACCGTCGGTAAAAGAAAAGAGATTCATGATCCTGAACTCCTCTCCCTATCGGTCGAGCGGCTTCACTCTTCTCCCTCATAAACTATTGGTCCACAGCTTCCTTCGCTCCTTTACCTTTTTTACAGTAAAAGAAGAAGAAACCGAAACCCTGAGCTACTGAGTTTACAGTGTTTGAAAGAAGGGAAACTGTAGGCTCTTGAACCGGAACCTGATTGAGCTCCTTACCTGCCCCTGAATCTCTACCTTCCCGGATTGAACAAGGTCTCATGGCTTCGCCCCTTCCCTGGATTTCCCCTATTTCTTCTGGAACAGTAACCTCGGACGAAAGATTCATTCTTTCTCTTCTCCTCGTAAACAAGTCAAGACTAAAGATGAATGAGAGTCAATTTCTTGAAACTCAATCACCTATCCTTTCCAATGAAAGAAAGAAGGGAGACTCCAGTAGAATTATCCTTGATAGAATGAAAGAAGAAGAATCAGATACAGTTCAAGAATAAAGGGAGAATAAGATATTCCTTTAGATGAGAGTCATTTCATATTCAATCCCATAAACGAGGAGAAAGCAAGACAAGAAGAAATGAACGAGTTAGCTGCTTTTCAAGACTCAAGCAAGAAAGACTCAAGAGAAAACCTTAATCGATATCACCTTCACTACTAAACCGAAACAGTAAGGAAAGCCGAAACAAGAAGAAATGAATTAGCTGCTTTGAAAGACGAAATATTAATTATTTATCCTGCCTGAACCCGCCCCTTTTCCGATATTCCCTTCACTACTGAACCGTAACCTATTCTTGAAGGTCAAGCTCATGAGCCTGCCCCAGACCCTGTATTCCCTTCCCTGAACTTTACAGTCGAGTAAATGAATTCAATACCTTCCGGAACAGGAATAGTAAACACCCAACTCCTTATGAATGAGACTCAACCAACCTATCCTTTCTTTACCGAAAGCAAGACAAGAACAAGATTCATTCGACTTCCCTTCGCTCCTCTCACTCCTTAACTCCTTGTTCCCTTCTTTCACTATAACCTCATTCACCTAATTTCACTCAGTCTTCGTCTTCGCACCTGACCTTAACCAGTCGAGTAAATGAATTAGCTACTTCACCTTGCGCCTTCCCTTCGCTACTTCCGGCCCCTATATTCCCTGACCCTATTTCCCTTGTGAAAGAATAGTCCCTATTGAAAGAAGAATCAATGGATTAGCAGCTTTACTGTCGAGCTACTTACTCCGGAACAGGAAGGAAAGATAGAGAAGCTCCTTCCCCTTATACGATATTCCCTTTTACAGTCAAGTAAATGAAAAGAGACTGACTTCACACCTTCTTTCACTCTTTTCCGATATTCCCTGACCTTCAAAGAAAAGTGATATGAACCAAGAGACATCAATCATACAATATGCTTCAATGAAGATGTGAAGAAAAGGTTGTCAAAATTATCAAAAGATGTTTCAATTCATGCTACATTGAAGAAGAATAAAGTTTGATTGTTGTAAATTTTGGGTGGGTTATAATTTAGAGTTATTGTATTTTAAGACATTTTATTTAATTTCGGTTACATTTACATAAAGGCTAAATATGGCCATAAAGTGTGAATGTTACAACTTTTGTAATGCCTTTAATAGTTTCATTTTGAGCCTATATAAAGCCATGTATGTTGTATTTGTAAGGCAGACTTGGAAAATATAGTAAAAGAAGCATTTGTGCTCTTCTTTAGCCAATGGCTATTTGCAATTCTATGTAGTTTAGGTTGCATGTAGAATCATTCAAGCTCGACATGATCAATCTTGCTTGTGGAGTGATTCGAATCTCAAACAAGTGTTTGAGATATTTGATCAACAAGAATCATTCAAGCTAGACATGATCGATCTTGCTTGTGGAGTGATTAAAATCTCAATCAAGTGTTCTTGCCTTGAGACAATCGATCAACAAGGAAATCCGAATCTTATTCCCCTTGTATTGATTCCTTATCATATCAACAAGGTAAAGCCTTTCTCCTTCACTCAATCACCTCGGTTTCACTGCTCTCTGTCTTAGCCTTTCTAGCTTTCTTTGTTTTATGCCCTTCCTTCTTTCACTCTTTTACTCGGTAAATGGAATAGGTGTTTTCATCTTCTGTCCTATTCTATTGGTCTCGTTGGCTCCTTCACTATTCTTGAACGAGGTAAAACTCATTCACCTATTTATTTTTGAACTGCTCTTTCTCCTTCAACTAATTGAACAAGGTAAAAGACAAAGATGAAGACTCCTTCCTTCCTTATGAATGAGACGGATTGAACGAGGTAAACTCCTGACCCTTCAAACACTCTTTTCTTATATTCCCTTATTGTTGTTATTCTTGAACAGTAAAGACTCCTTATGAATGAGACAGATGGAACTCGGTAAAGCAGCTGGATCATACGCTCCTGAACTACTGAACCTTCCCCGATATGACTTGACCCTATTATTCATTCAATCCTTCACTTTATAGTCGGTAAAAGAAAAGAAGAAGAAACAAGAACCGATATTCCATTCCCTTCTTTCACTCTGTAAATAGGTGTTTTATTCTGAACCTCTCCAACTATCCTATCAGTCTACTTCGCTCCTTCCCCTCGTATTCCAGTCGCTTTCTTTTCGTGTTGTTGCAATGCTACCGAGGTACTAGCTTTTCTACAGAATGAGTAGATGAAAAAGTACAAGTTGTATCTGAAACTACAAAGATAAAGCCCAAGGGTAAAGGGGAACCCGAAAACCTCGTAAACTTTGGAAGTCTGAGCAAGCATTTCCAACTTCAATTGCGATAAGACAAGAAAGGAATGAATTGATTTCGAACAACAAAAAGGGGTAAGTACTAACTCTGACTTTTGTATTTTGAAAGGAATGCTGCTGTAAAAAACATAGGCAGAATTACAGTGAAGAAAAAGTCTCATGCAGGATAGCTGCCGCTAACAAAATTCACACAGTTTATAGAAACAACACCGTACGGCTTTTTTCAATTTCTCTCCTCTCTTCTATTACTTGTTTGAGTTCCTGATATGTGGAAATCACTACAAGGGGAGTAAGATTCGGATTACCTTGTTGATCGAATATCTCAAGGCAAGAACATTGTTTGAGATTCGAACCACTCCACAAGCAAGATCGATCACGTCTAGCTTGAATGGTTCTTGTTGATCAAATATCTCAACGCAAGAACACTTGTTTGAGATTCGAATCATTCCACAAGCAAGATTTATCATGTTGAGCTTGAATGATTCTACATGCAACCTAAACTACATAGAATTGCAAAGAAACTTAGCCATTGGCTAAAGAAAAGCACAAATGTTTCTTTTAATATATTTTTCAAGTCTACTTACAAATCCAACATACATGGTTTTATATAGCCTCAAAATGAAACTATTAAAGGCATTCCAAAAGTTGTGACATTCATACTTAATGGCCATAATTAGCCATGATGTAAATGTAACCTAAAGTTAATAAAATATCTTAAAATACAATAACTCTAAATTACTCTAAATTGTAACCCACCCAAAATTTATAACCATCAAACTTCATTCCTCTTCATTGTGACATGAATTGCAACATCTTTTGATAATTTTGACAACATTTTCTTCACATCTTCATTGAAGTATATTGTATGAATGATGTCTCTTGGTTCATATCAGTTCCCCTCTCTCCCATCCTCTTTTCAAGTCCCACGCTTTTCCCGGTTAAGAATGGTAGACCCTCCACAGCCCCCCGGGGTCAAAGAACATTTTCGTAAAGAGAAGCTCCGAAGGCAACCTATGCCCTCATTCCATTCCATTCCATTTTCTTGTAGTTTTCTTATGGGTTTCCTCCTGTCCATTACATTACATCTAGTGCATGTCATACTTGAGTGTATAAGCCGTTAAAAAGGCTCTTCAACAACTCTCATCTTTGTATGTATGTTGTTTAGGAAATCTGGCGTGGGGGGATAGTAGGTGTTGGAAAGAGGGATAGTGAAAGAGATAAGAATAGATGAATGCTGCAGTGCTTTATTATTGTCTACTGACTCGATGCTGAGAGGGTTACACAATTTCAGTATTTATAGCTTATACACTGGACCAAAAATAGTAAATCATCGAAATCTAGAAAAAATTCAAATCTACTAACAATCTCCTAAAAATCTCCTAGTTTGAATATTTGAATCATATCTCAACTATTTTGAATCATATCTTCATTTTGAATCATATCTCAACACTCCCCTTTGATTCAAAGTTGCAAATGCCAAGTAATCGTCTGAAGTAGCAAAACTTTTCTTTTGACAAAGCCTTGGTAAGTATGTCTGCTAGCTGTTCATTGGTGTTACAATATTCCAAGACAATTTCTTCGTCTGCAACAAGATCACGAATATAGTGATGTCGAAGTTCAATATGTTTTGTTCTACTGTGAAACGCTGGGTTCTTTGTCATAGAAATAGTTGCTTTATTATCACAAAATATCTTTGTTGCCCCTTTTTGCTCTTGTTGAAGATCAGCTAACATTCTTCTTAGCCAAATGGCTTGACACGCTGCTGAAGTTGCTGCAACATATTCTGCTTTTGATGTTGACAACGCCACTGTTGCTTGCTTCTTTGAGCTCCAAGTGATCGCTCCTGACCCTAAAGTGAAAACATTGGTTGAAGTGCTTCATCTATCATCTAATGATCCTGCCCAATCACTATTAGTGAATCCATATAGTTTGAAATTAGAGGATTTAGAATACCAAATTCCATACTCCATAGTTCCGACAATGTAACGTAAGACTCTTTTTGTTGCTCCATAATGAACCTTAGAAGGATGTTGCATAAACTTATAAATAATACCAACAGGAAATGCAATGTCGGGTCGTGTGTGAGTTAAGTAAATCAGTCCGCCAACCAAGCTCCTCAACTTGTATACCTTTGTTTCTTTGTCCTTCTTTATGAATCCTTCTGGTTGTGCTACATAAACCTCTTCTTGTAAATCTCCGTTAAGAAATGCTGACTTAACATCAAACTGATAAATCGGCCACCACAATTCTGCTGCTAATGCTAGAATAGTTCTTACAGTTTCAAAACGAGCTACTGGAGAAAAAGTTTCTTCAAAATCTATACCTTGTTGTTGTGCATACCCTTTTGCTACAAGACGGGCCTTATGCTTTTGTATGCTTCCATCTGGTGCAAATTTTGTCTTGAACACCCATTTCAAATTGATTGCATTTTTTTCGTTTGGTAAGTCAACCATCTCTCATGTTCCATTTTTCTCAATGGACTGCATCTCTTCTACCATGGCTTTCTTCCACTCTTCTTTTTTAGCTGCTTCTTCATAACACATAGGATTTGAAACAGTAAGAGCAAATTGACATGATGCATATATGTCAGTTAAAGATTTATACTTCTTTGGAGGTGTCTCATCCGAAAGTTCTTCAAGAAGAATCGCTGTTTAGTGATGCTGAAGATGATGAATTTGACACATTTTGTGTTGCAGTGGAGATACTAGGAGATGCACTGGAGTTGACCCTTGTCTCTTCATTTGGGGAAACTTCAACTGTAATATTTTGCTGCTCCTATTCTTTACTCCAATCCCAACTCACGTTTTCATTAAATATCGCATCCCTTCTAACTAAAATCTTTTCACTGATGGGGTTGAATAATTTATATGCCTTTGATTGAGTACAATAGCCAATGAAAATGCATTTTTCAGATTTTTCATCAAGCTTTTGACAAATTTGAGGATGTTTCAAAGCATAAGCAACACAACCAAAGATTCGTAAATGACTTACAGATGGTTTCCTTCTATGCCATGCTTCATAGGGAGTTTGATTCATAACCGCCTTTGTTGGTGAGATGTTTAATAGATAAACAGATGTTGCTACGGCTTCTGCCTAAAATTGGTCTGGAAGTCTCCTTGCTTGTAATATACTTCTTGCCATCTCCACAATAGTTCAATTTTTTTGTTCAGCGATTCTATTTTGTTCTGGAGTGTAGGGAGCTGTTAATTCCCTTTGGATGCCCTCTTCTTCACAAAACAGATTGAACTCTTTAGATATGAACTCGCCACCTCTGTCTGTTCGAAGAACTTTAATGTGACAGCCACTTTGGTTCTCTACCATAGCTTTAAACATCTGGAACTTCTGAAAAGTTTCTGACTTATGTTGTAGGAAGTAAACCCAACTCATGTGACTATAATCGTCAATGAATAGTAAAAAATATATACTCCCACCCAAGGAATTCGTTTGCATTGGCCCACAAAAATCAGCATGAATTAGTTCTAGACAGTGTGAAGCTCTTCTAGCTTTTCCAACAGGAAAGGACTTCCTAGTCTGCTTCCCATAAATGCATCCTTCATATAGATTAGTTGAGTCAATTCTTGGTAATCCGAAAACCATACCTTTATTCCTGAGTATTTTCAGGCCGTTCATATGAAGATGTCCATATCTGAGATGCCATAATGTTGAGTCATCTTTCGTGCAAGCAGCAAGAGCAAAATCCTCCATGTTAGAAATATCAAGTGGAAATGTCTTATTTGAAGTCATGGCAATTTGAACTTTATGACCTGATTTTTTATGTGTAATGACACATGTGTTGTCATCAAATAGAATTGAATGTCCTCTGGTCATCAATTGTCCAATACTCAATAAATTATACCCTAAATCAGGTACAAATTGAACATTATCTAATTGTTTTATCTTACCATGACTAGTTTCGACTTTCACTGTACCTTTTCCCTCAACTTGCATCTCTTTTGTGTTTCCAAGTTGCACCTTAATTTTTTGCGTCTCATCAAGCTCTTTGAATAAGGATTTGGTTCCTGTCATATGGTTCGAGCATCCGCTATCAACAAACCATAAGTCACCTTTTCTTGGATTAGTATCCATGCACGCCATAAGCAGCTTTTCTTCTTCTTCTTCATTCTCTGCTGCAAAATTCATTTGTTGATTTTTATACTAACAATCAGATTTTGTGTGCCCATACCTTCTGCAGTAGTAACATTGTATGACATTCCTTTGTTCATTGAATTGTCTCTATCCATCACTTCTCCATCTACCCCTGTTATCACGACCACCATGGAAGCTGCGAAATCCTCCTCTTCCACGACTTCTACCTACTAAATGAATATTTTCTCTTTCGTTGTTTTCGTTGTTGGTTGTCTCCTTCACTTGTAGTGCCTTTTATTCGTTCCTTTCTGATGCTCTATTGATTCTTGCCTCATGAGCCTGAAGCGAGCCCATCAGTTCATCAATAGAGAGTATGGATAGATCCGTAGCTTCTTCTATGGCAGCCACCACATGGTCAAACTTTGGAGTTAAGCTTCTCAACACCTTTGCAACAATTGTTTCGTCTGAAATTTTCTCTCCATAGGTGCACATCTGACTGACTATTGCCATTGTTCTGAACAAAAAATCAGCAATTGATTCGCCATTCGTCATGAGTAG